AAATAAATGATTAGAAGTCACAAAGCATCTTCAACCTTTTCAGACCACAGACCCAAAGTTTAATTGCAATGTGTAATTGCACATATTAATGCATACAGACCATAAACATTTATGTTTTTAATGATTGGTTGTGTTTTTATTGTGTTTATTTTGTTTTAATTAGCCTCTCAGAGTCATGTATATGAGATGGGTGGCCATATAAACTTATTATTTATAAATATATAAATAAAAAGTAGAGGTCTTCCATTTTTAATATCTAAAAAAAAATAAGATAGGAGAAAGATTTTTGAAGGAGAAAGCTTGTCAGGACTAAGATGAAAGTTCCCAGCCATCCTTTAAATCTCTTTACCTCTTTTCTGTTTTTTGCTCTCTACTGGTCATTTAAAAAGAAATCTGAATAGACAAGTTAGTTTTGGTGTCAATAATGCAGTCCTGTAGACTGAGGTGCAACAAACTTGCAAATCTTGACTCACCACTTGAAGAACAGTGCAAAGGCAAGTACCTTATTAGTATATGAATCACAATAAAATATATGGAACATTTAAATGGAACATATCAATGGAACATTTTCTGCATGAATTTTTCTCTCTCAACGACATAATTAAATTCTCACTTTTTTTGTGGAGTGTATGATGAAAAAAACATGTTGCCAAAATATAAGGAAATAATTTTAGAATTCTTATTAACAGCAAATAGCACTTTTAATATTGCAACTAAAAAAGTATTAGATAGGTATTCTGCCCCATTCTCCTTAAATAAACTTTGTGTTCAAAACAACTTAAGGAAACTAGAAAACAGTGAAGGCTCATACCTGGCTCCTCCATAACATTTCATGAATAAATTGAAGTGACTAAGTTATAAAATTGCCTGATGGAACTCTAAATTTAGTTTCCAGATTATGCATACAGTGCAGTTTTAAGCATTTTACTCACAGTGTATTTAGGGTTATAGCCTCATTTCAATAATTTCCTTGTACTGTGGGTCTGTTTACATCTTCCGGTACCCAATTTTGAGATTCAGTGCAGAAAATAAAACCTTATCAAAACATCTAAAGTGTGATTCATTTGAAACAAAGGTTAAGTCCTTTTTTATAACTTTAGTTAATTTTTTCTATATAAAATCTAGGCCCATTATCCAAATCCTTAGCCAGGAACCCAAATTAAGTTTCTTCTAGATTTTGCCTGTTGCTTACCAATTTTGTTCGGCAGTTATTAAATAATGGCTTTCTTCTTGTTAGTTTGCTGTATCCATTTTTGACAATAAAAACTCAGTCTCTCAAAGCCTTTCAAACTCAGTTGTTTGTGCCTACCCTTCACTATCTGGCTATCCATATTTAGTTCGTATTGTCCTATTGCCTGGGAATTGTCAGAGACATTTCATAGTAATGACATTCTGACTTATCTTGTCTAACACACACACACACGTGTGTGTGCGTATGTATTTGCCACAACTACTTCATGCCTGGGCATATCTCAACCAACCCCCAAAGCTCTGCTCTAAACCATTCTGTTATAATTATAGTTTCTACTTTGGGAATCAAAACAAAATTCTTCTTGTAGAAAGCCTGTTGGATTTAAGCCAAGTATTTGTGCGTATTTCATCTCTAAAATTTCCTTTTTAACATTGATAATACAGTTATAGCTACACGAAAATCTAGAGCTATTACAAGCTATAAATTGATCTCACTGACATCGCGGTATATATTAATCACCTAAGACATTTCAGATTCTTAGCAAATAATGGGAGGGCTTGTTTTTTCTTCCATGCTACATAAATTGCTATACCATGCTAGACTGAGAAACACAATGCTCCAGACTGCAAATGGAAGATATACAGCAAGTCTGGGAAATTCTGCCTCTTGCTGGAGGAGATACTTTAGGGGAAGGGACGGGAGGTGTTGGCCCATTCTGGACTCCCACTTCATCTCTATCAACCTAACCAGTTATTTGGATTATTATTACAAATAGTGTACGATATGCTTCCTAAGTTATTTTGTCTTACTAAACATGTGACTCCTGGACTATTCCAGAAGCCTACTATCAACTCATTCATTTCCCCTGTGGCCTGTCATTCTTGCCTCATTTACTGCAGCTTCTTTTCCCAGCAGTAGGCAGATTAGCTACAAAAGTTACACAACTTTATCTGTTATCCTCATGGTTGATTTCCAGTAGCGAAATACTGAAATATTTTAGAGCTACTCAACTACTAAATGAAATAATTTAGTTGCCCATTGATCAAATATTTGCCCATAGTTGCTGACTTCAATTCCTGGTACCATCTGGTCTAACAAGACTCTCCTCCTCTATGAAAGGGTCTCAGGTTCAGTTGCATTTGAGAAGGAGCTAAGCTATAATGAAACTACTGCCAATTGCTGGTTTTATTTTTGCAAGTTATTTGTAGTTATAGGAGCTTCATTTGCTACTCACCTTGCTATTGCAACAATATGAGTTGTGTTGAAGAATTAGTCTTTTCTGTCTTAGCAAATGGTAACTCTTGGCTGAACTTATTTGGGCTTTGAAGCTAAACAGGGTTGAAGCTTGTTAGCACTTGGGTTAGGTTATTCTACCAGGGAATAGCAGGAATGTAAGCTACTCTAAGTTAGAAAACTTCCTGGAGAAGTTAATGGCAAGCCACTTCTGTATGGTATCACCTGGAGTTGAAATCAAGAGTATCTTTACCTTTACGGCTGCTATGTGCTCTATTGTGGCTAACTACACTACCTCACAGCTTCAGAGCAAGGAAAAACACCAAGTTTCCATGCTTTTCACTTCTTCTGAAGACAGTACTATACAGATGTTGAGAGCATGCTGGAGACATCTGGTATCTTTGTAATAAATGTGGTTCATTTACAAATATGTACAGCAAAAACAGGCAAACAGACAGAAGGTCCTCTAGTTCACATTCTGTCCCTAAGTCCTTTAGCTTGTTTGTTCCTCAACCCCCTTGCTCCCAGTATAATACCTACTA